AGAAAGTAGCAACTCTTACATGGCGGGTCTTTGTTAAGTATGTTAGAGCTGAGAAATTAGAAGCAAGGTAAGAAATGCAAGTGGTAGCGATGTTGCCTCCTTACGATCAGAAATAAAACCAAATTCCAGAATATTTTAATTTAAAGCTCCACAGGCCCTCTTTAATGTTGAGGATGGGTCACAGACCCAACCTTACTAGGAATTCCAGCAGAAAAGGCGCAAAATCAGATAATAATGAAGCTTTGTCGATTCGTACTCCTAAGCCAAGCAATAAAATGCATGGAGTGGTAGAATTAAAATTGCCCTGAGAAAGAGACCTAGTATTGGGAGAAATCAAAAACGTAGTTAAGGGAAGAGCTGGCAATTCACATACTAACACTGTTATTAGACATGGAACTCAAGTTGATGAAATTGCTCAACGAATCTACACAATTCAATAGCAAACGCTTCAGAAATAAATGCTTTTGGCAACTGTAATTAAACAAGAATATTATTTGACTCCTATGGGGCGTAGGATCCAAGTTCACTAGATTGACGGGGAATTGACTAGGTTTGACCACGAGGCCTCTTGACGAAATCATGGACAACAGTAAATATAGCTGCAACAGAATATCGAGAATTTAGTGCACCCCAACGCAGACAAAAAGGGGTGAGAGGGAACCAGAATTGGAGACCAGCAGTGCAAATGTGAGGAAGAGCAAATGAGAGAAAATCTTGACCCACAGAAAATAGCTGAGGCAGAGGTGAAAAATCAATAAACGGTACGTAGATGAAATTTGGGCACAGATGGGTAAAAACGGTACTATGGGGGCATTGGAAAGTAAAGATCCAAGTTAAAACTGTTAGAATTGACAAACGGTTGGAAATATAGTTGTTTTAAAAATTATAGAGTAGAGAAAAATATATCTGATCAAAACATATTTATAAATACCATATTACGGAATGTGCTTTTGGTGTAATGGATGCATATTCACGTTACAAGGTACATTGAAAAGCCAAGCGTGCGGTGAGAGGCGTTTGAGTCGTGATAGCCGTATTGAAGAGGCATGTCACTCTCTCTCTCATTCCTAAATGCCATACCGTTGACGGAAGTCACCACGATGCGATGAGTTTGAGTTAATTTAGTTTAACATCGAGAAGGTAAATAAAACACCCCAACCCCCCCCCTTCCCAACCCATCCAACCGTGTTTTGAAAAGATGACCAAGTAAACTAAAGAGCTAGGACAAATATATCGTGAACGGACTTTGGGGGAGTGAGTTCGTGAAAAAAAAATCATAAAATAGTGGCCTAAAGCCACTCTGATATTAAAAACCAAACTCAGTGAGTTCCAGCCACCTGCTAGAGCCTGTAAGACATGAATGTACCGAGACGACGTGACCAACTAAAGATTTAACTCAGCTGATTAACAAGCTATGAATATCACACATGAACCATCGAAATCTACAACACACATACACACAAGTGCTGAGACAAATTAGCTTTTAATAAGAGAACGGATGATAAACTACTACCACTACTACTACTACTACTACTACTACTAGACATTAAAAAGCGATTTGCAGGAAAAAATACATGACAATGATCGAGTGAATGAACCGAAAATTCAACTGAAGAAACTGTACATGGATAGATATTCTGGCTACTTCGAAAAATAGACAAGCCCGATATCTAGTAGCATTTATAAATCGACGGTGTAAAGTTAGAAAAAATCGAACTGTTTAATACCTCATGGGGTACATTTGGTCAAGAGTTCACATCTTCCTCAAGACACCAAAAACCAATGAATGAAATGCTGTCAGGTCCAGCACTTGTGCTATTCTCATTACTAAACTCAGTTTGCTTTTGACAGAACATGTGCACACAAGCAAACCTGTCATGATCAAGATGAAAAAATTCGAGCAATTAACAACCAAAAATGCAAATTTGGCCGTATTAAATCGGAGTGACTTTTTACAGAAAAAGGTGAGCTTCATGAATTCAGATACATTGAAAGTAGAGAAAAGTGAAACAGCTAAAGCCAGGTCAACGTAAATCTATTAAATTAGGTCACTATTTCAATATTCATGTGGGCACTGGTTAATTTAGGACATCAGGAGATAATAAAAGCGCGTTAGAACGCAATAAATTCCAGAATGTATTCGCGTAGCACTGAAGAATGAATGAATGAATGAATAAAGATGTACACTTCGTATTCCAATTATCTAAAAAGCGAGGAGAGTAAGAAAGCGATGCTATTGTAATAACAAAATCCAATCCATTTCACATCCATCACAACAGCTAACGTGAGACCAATCCATTAACCAATTGAAAGCATCTCAAGAACAACTCGTAGTTTGTTCTAGAAAAACGACGGTATATTCCACAAAGACAAAATTTGAACGGTACGAGTGAATGAGAAGGAACTTCAAAACGGAGCCCCATACAGGAAGGCAATGACAAAGTGAGATCCAGGAAGGGCCAAAATTCACGCAAGGGACTTATTATATGACCAATAATAATAATGGACAAGGTCACTAGAGTCGACCCAACCGCTGAGAGAGAACAATTGGCAGTAGGAACTCAATATGTGCATCCATGCAAGAAAAAGAGAAAAAAAGCATGAATAGACAAATTATTTTACAAGTGTGAGCTTGGTAATAGTTGCCCAATGCATAGATGACTAAATTATAATTTGATTACAATGACTAGCCATGTGAGTGGAACAATAAGCAGTAAAAGCGAATTTCAAGGGCAGTAGAAGCTATCTGAAGTAAGAAAATAGGAATTTGAAATGGGAAGGAAGATCAAATGGTCTCCATGAACCAAAAAGAAATTCACAGTTTTCACTATTCGTGCACTCAATCGTAAATTATATTGTTTTAGTGCAATCACATCAATGACGTATTTATTGGCTACTCAGGAAGACAATCTTTTTATACCATCGTCAAGTCATATATGCCTTTAAATTTTGCTTGACAGAGCTTCTACTTTCTTCAAGATGGGTTTGAGCAAATAGTCACCAACGTGGAAATCCGGCATCACTAGGTACACCTCTCCCACAAATAGAGAAAATTTTCTTAATTTATTACAAATTTCAAATGGCATACAATTTCGAAATACCACTAGAGTTGATGAAAGAAGAAAACTCTTTTCAGCTAGAGTTGGTTAATTAAATAACCTGGCATAGAACAAATCTTTCTGCAACAATGAACAAGACAGTTAACACCCTGGTAAATATATGGTTCAAATTTGTGAAACTATTTGCCAAACACATTTAACCTGACTTACAGTTTAAACGATACATTTTAAAAGAAGCTGATGGGAAATAAACACAGTCCGCCAATATTGTCAGCAAAGACTTACATTCAAGTGGGAAGTACCACCGTGGGATCAACCTAACACATTTTACTTGGGGGAAATTTAGAAATTTTAATCACTGAATAGCGATGTAAACACGGAAACAGTGCATAATCCAATAGAGAATGAAAGGTAGACGGGAATTAGGACACCGAAGTTCGCGTTTCATGGTTTGACCATTGCATTCCCGTTTCCGCTAAGTTCAGAGCACGCTATCAAGGCCGATTATTCATACAAATGAGAGTGCAACATTACGCAATAAATTTGCCTCAGTGACGTCAATTATTGGTACCTATTTAGATTTAACTTATGCAATATTAACCGTTAATGAATGGATCTTCCACTAATCGTCTACAGGGTCTATAAGTACTAAATCGAGGGAACTGAAAACTTCAAGCGCTATTTTAAAGATAAAATTGAAGGCGAACTTCAATCTTACTCCTTGCATTAATGGTTCATTAAAAAATGGTCGAAACTGACCAAGAAATGTGCCCGCCAAACAGCAAAACCAGACAAACTTGAGGTCTAAATAGAGAAAATAAAAAAGGCAAGCCACGCAATACAATCGCAACTTCCGCAAAAAACCTTGAGCAGGCTTCCGTCAGAGATAATGGACAATATATTACCAACATATTGACATTTTAAATAGCAAATAAAGCCTGAATGACAGAGGCAGTTACTTATAGAGCTAAGTGGGAAATCTGAGCTATTAGTTGCTAACCCGACCTGGGCCAGTTTCCGCTTAGGTGGTAAGTAAAATATCCTCCACTTGTTCCCCCTTCCTAATTATGTTACCTCATTAACAGAAACTTTGAACCGCAGAAACAAGATAGTACGGCCAAAATTAGCAAGTGCATAAAGGACGTTGAAATTTGAGAACACACAGGTAACTGTTAATGAAAAAAAATGAATGAAATTCCAACTATAATTGTTGATTCAAGTCGACATTCCCAAGATGCTAAAAGTAATGAAAAAGAAAAGCATATGCGACCATGGTAAAACACATTAAGAGTACTTTTCCACTTAGCCTCAATGAAAATCAATTGTGGTGCCTACAAAAATTGAGAGTTGTTTCACTAAACCACAAGATTTTCCTTACTCTGTCATGTATCACGATCTACCAACGTCACATTTTCATTCATACATGTATCATCTTACGATCGTGGTTAATTCTCCACCCCCCTCAACACACACACATACACACACCTGAAATCTCGCAACAATAATTAAGTATTGATAAATCTCACCAACATAGATGCACCCTTACAATAGTAAAAAATAACGCCAGGCTGAAAATTATATTGAATAATCTTGGTATTCTAACCGATTTGATGATAATGTACAACTAGCAAGGAATTTCGTCTGAGCAAAACCTTGCACAATGAAAGGATATTGAAAGCGCATCGATCATGTTTAAGAAAAGCATCGAAATCTCTCGCAATTCCATTACATAAATAAATAAATAGCTATCACTTCAAATTTGTAAGAAACGTCTCATGCGTGCCCAAATTGTGCATGGCATATTGTCTAATAAAAAGATAACAATTTTGAGATATTAAGAACAATAGAGGAAGTGCATTGTAGTAGCTCACCGTACCCTAGCCATTAAACTTGTATTTACCTTCCATACTACCGCAATTCAGAAGTATACATAAAAGGCACCTAATTAAAACGAAAAATACTAACCACTGATATTTCCATTTCAGCCAAAAAAACTCGATGAACACCAAAAAATGGGCAAAATGAGACACTTACCAAGTAATCCCGAATGTCCAATTGGAAACTATCACGAAATGAGCGAAATGCAACAGGGGCGATTGTACGAAAACGGAAATCAGAGAGTGCATGGGCAGGCGTAGTCTTGGTACCAGAACGGGGAAAATCTACAGTTTCTATCACTTCAAAGTCTCGAAAAAGAATATCACGAACAGGCTTCTGTTGAAGGGTGCAAATGCTGTGTTGAATACCTAATTGAATGGCTCGTTGGATTTCTGATGTCGGTGTCTAAGAGAAAAGTTAGCATAATGAATAGCAAGACAACAAAATGCAAACGCAGTGAAAAAGGTACCTTCTTATATGTGACGGTACCCTGATCAGTGACTCGTCGATGACCAATCTTTTTGCTTTTCTTGAGATCGCTTTCCCTACGTCCTAAAAAGGAGGACGTTTTATTCTTGATATAAACAGCCGATTGATCTCCACCAGGGTCCGTATTCGATTCATCTGTAAAAGGAGAAAGCCCCGTTTAGAATACGCAAAAATCAAAATATAACAATATCCCCTCAATAAATGCAAATTTTTGAATGAGAAATATAAAATTTAATACTGAATAAAATGCGTTTCCTATAAAAAACATATAAACCAAAAATAAGACATTTTTCTAATATGTATATTTAAAAAAATTATAGTGATATTACGGATTTATATACTAATACCTCCACTTTTATATATTTCATTATTATTCAACTTACTATTCTCCATTGGGAATGACCCTCAAATATGTTGCTTCATTTATAAGTGAATTAAAAATCAATGTACTCAAAGGTGAGTTACTCCATTAACTGAAATACTTCAGTTATTAATGGCCTGAAATTTTATTTAAAATTTTAATTTTTGATAATTTGATGTATTTTTAAAAAGTTTTCTTGAAGTTTGAACTTCAGAAAAAATATACTATATTCTTATTAAAAATAGATTATATGAGTATAAGTCATATATCTTAATTTTTATAATATAAATGCTTTGGTTTATTGAGGAGTTGAATCAAATTTGCATGACACAGTGTCTTAATTTTTTCATTTGAATCCTGACAGATTACATGTTTGTTTCATATAGTCATCTTATACTTTTTAGAGCTGCTTGACTATTGTTTAATTGTGAAAATGAAAACATCTGAGTTTTTTAGACATCTTATTCCATTGACATTTAAAATAAGGTGTAAATCAAAATTTGTCCTGACTTACATCTTTATTCATCAATTAGGGGTTATTTAGCATATCAGGTAAGCGCATAAGGAAAGGGCTTTGAAGCTACTAGAAAAATGAGTAGCTTTTACGTTTAGAATTAAATTTAAAGATCGAATTCCTTCAAAGTAGAGAATATTGAACAACTATATTACGGATAATACTAGATTAGCACTGGTAATCTATTAAAACGCTGTTATTTATTAAATAATGTTAAATTTTGCCGACCATTTGTTCGTAGCATCTCTCTTAATCCCAAGTAAACTCTTTTTAATCTGTTGAATTTCTAACAAGAATTTGTCGTGACAACAAAGAACCCCCATTGACATAGCCGATTCGAAGAATAAATATTTGTCGACATCCCTTATTGCGTTGAGAACATGATTGTCATACACACATGATTTTTCCGTTTCCGCGGAAAAGCGTAGCCATTTCTTAGCTTATCCAGGAATATCAATTATCTACAGAAGCATTCTGTCAACAACATGATGTAAACTTCCCTATGCATTTCAACACAGTACACACTATCACACAGGCAGGTGTGATTGGGTTACGGGCCACTTAAATAATATTTTTTAATAAAATGAGACCAAAGGGAACGAATGTCGTGTTAGAGTATTTCAAAATTTAATATATAACATTTTTTTTTGAAAAGATTATTACTTACTCAAGTATTTTTCCTTTTCGTATATTTAGCAATTCAGCCGTGATGTAGCCAAATTGACCGCGAGACGAGAGTAAAACTATTGAGTCCTGTTGCTACCTATGGGTAACACCTTGGCTTCTTCTGCAATAGATCAACTGACCACAGGCAGTTCGAGAGTGTGCCAGAAATGGCATCGAGCCATGGTAGTTCGTCAGGAAAATATCATAATTGGTCCTATCTCGTAGTTGTACGGTATTAGGTGACCTCATATAGTTCGAGCGTGATGGCACTAAGTTATAAAACATTATAATTAATCCCATCGAGATTTTTAATAAGTGGTCCTTCCTCTAATCGAAAAATCCGATCTCTTGGTCTGAGTTGTTTATATTCGCTAACTTCGGTATAATTTCCTGCTAGTATAGCTTAGATATACCTGCCCTTCGGATTGTCAATTATGACAGCTATCCAGAGCTGATTTAATTGATAGTTTACGGCAGCCGCGAAATCAGTCAAGTTATATGATCACTTCAAAGACGCTTAGACAGCCTCATCTTTTCACTCGCTTTCACAATTCCTATCATAAAAATTCAATTTTGATGCCGAATGCCCAACACAAAAGCACGTTTTTAATTGAATACATGATCATACCAAAATTTGAAAAAATGCAGGGTTACACTTTGCACTTTTGTCCGTAAGGAGCGTTTCTAGTACAACATGAGTTAAAATAGAATTTTGAATAAGGAAGTGAGGACTGCATACTTGTTGCTAGTGCGAACATATTGACGTCGAACTTTTCGAAAGGGCATTTGTCACCGTAAGATATGTTGTACCGGTAATAGTAAGTGAGAGATAAGTCTAAGGTGAATCCGGTTTTGAAAAGTGATGAAGAATAAAATTCAGTAACACCACTAGCACGAGATTTCACGCAATTGCTCATTTAAGAGTTGGTGTTAGTTAGGTCTCGTTTTGCCTAGGAGATGAATGGGATTGAACTCGTCAATCCAGTCGGGGCCACGAGGATTATAATTCGACCTGTAACGTAGCAGTCATTGAGAATAATTTTCACCTGAAACGTAGTTGCCAATCGGATCGAACCGTAAAGTGTTCGGGCATTACATGAAACCTTATGTACTGGGGAGGGGGGGGGGGGGGGGGGGAAGTCGATTGTGATATCGTAGCCAATTTCGACTTGGAGGTCAAATGGTTCGATTTTAATGCTAAGATTAATATTTTTCTAGGATTTCAATTTAGCTGAACAAGTATTCTTTTGTTGTTGAGGTTCCAGAAGATTTTCGTTAGAAGCCCTCTTTGTGTGAAGTTTCGTCAAAGCTCTGACAGCTACTTCTTCTTAAGAAACAGCCTTCGCAAAATCGTCATCTTGGGAGTGAGTTCTACTGGTATCTGTCGGATGTGGGGTAGATCCGTCGGACGATTTATGGTCGGCCATTAGTAAATCCTTTCAGGTTGAGCACTCGCGATTCTCGGTTCTATAGCACTTTCGAGTTCGCGACGAGACTACTTGTTATCGATTTCTATGTGTAAGTAAGTTAACAGACTATATCGAATTCAACTCAACCAAGCGATCGGAGATCAAGAGAGAACTTGAGGCAACTGGAATGTTTTCATTCTAGAGTTGTAAATCAGAATCTAGTGTTGACTGTTAACGATATCTACGCGTAGCCATGTGGTGAAGCTTTCATAAGGTCTGTTAAGGAGGAAAATCGTTGTCACCAACTCTCGTGCCTTGGTTGAATAATTACGAAATAGTAAGCATGGGAGTTTAGTAGCTTCATTAATACCGTGACTTACTAATCCCCACTTTATAAAAAAGAATTTTTGAAAATTTTGTGGTTTACATGGTCAGTCAAGCATCTTCGTTGGCTGTATGCTCTTCGGTACTTTAGTCATATAACCCCGCAAATTGGATAGAAAAGTATATTCAAACTCACTAGCCAACATGAACATACTCAACCACAATCCTATGCTGATGGAGAGAGAAATAGACACGAAAGCAGGGAGATTGTTTCTTCTCGCTCTAGTGCTCTTTAATGGTAATATTCCCCTCCCACATCTATTGTTACTCGTATTGGTCTTCATTCCTTCTTCCTCGGCATTGACCTCCCAAAATAGATATTCACAAGTCTTCTTGTTACTATTGCTATGACAAAGGGGGTTCCATTAAAAACCCACGCCCATACCACAATGACTTCTACTTTTTATCATTTTTAAGTTAACGTACCTCTATGAAGTTATTCAGTGCTCGGTCAGTTGGATATGATGTGACCGTGACCACATAAATGAAAGCATTAGATCCCCACAGGCAACGAAGATAAAGAAAGTTAGTGAATTTCATCATGCAGGTTAGCTGCTTATCTACCATATGATGTACGAATATTGATTCAAATGACATTGATGTGTATCTCTCTGGCAAATCCTTTCACTCTAAATGACAAAATTTGCATAAAATATCAATATAAACTGTTTGCTTTGTACCAGCTTCTTATCAAAGAGGGGATGTGAAATCGTTGTAACCAAGATGTTGCTAAATCGACTCTGATCAAACTGAAACTTGAAGATCAATTGATAAGATTACCCTCCTAGTTCTACCGTCTCTACCTCCTCTAGAATATTAACTCTCTTCTACCTTACATGCTTCGAAATTTCCCCACGATCATAGTTATATAATTTTCGACATTATTTTGGAAATTTATTTATTTATAGCAAATGGCAAGCGTTTTGATAGTTATCATTAGCCCATTAGTTGACTTCAGGCTTCACAGAGGGGGAGGAACATCAAATTAGAAAAAAAATCCAAAGGGGGGGGGGGAACAGAAGAGTGCTTCAAAGACGAAGGTAGAAAAAAGGTGAGGTGAGTACTGTGAAGTAGTCGAATATGGCATACAGTGGGGTCATGGCAGTTTGAAGTCAGAAGTCAACTGCCCATTGATAGACTTTTTTGTCGTATGAATATACGCTGCCCAGGGTGCACCACGTGGAGGTAAGTCTATCGCACACCCCTTTTGGAAATTTATAAAGTCATTCAAATCGATTGAAAAATTTTCGTTTTTTGAACTTACTTCCAAATTCATGGGCGGAAAGATAACCATATTACATTTTAAATAATTAAAGCGGCTTTCAATGCACATTAATTGAATTAAGCGATCGTACAATGAAAATGCAATCAATAATACCCTCCTCCCGACTCCCATGTGGTATCACTCATAATACGAATGTCCTCAACTTTTATTGATTGATTTGATTATACCAGCCTTGGTTACTACTCTACCATAATACATGCTGCATAAAAGACAGATTAAATTTTCTTCAAACAATCCATTCAATAAAAATTCGAAGCGGCACCAACATTAGTAGATGAATTTAATTTTTATTAATATTTTAGTGACAAACAAGACTAAATTACATGACCACAAAGAACAAAAAATAGACCGGGTTTTTGAATATGCACCAGCGTAATAATTTACACTCAGAAAGAGATTAAGTGTCAAGCACCACAGTCAGGGAAACATAAAACCCAAGCCAATAGAGGCGGTAATAGAAACAATGGTGTTTGTGATAAAGAGAGCAGGTTTCATTGAGATCACAGCCAGATCACGAAGGCACGGGGAGACTCGATGCCTGGGGTTCAGAATCTTCGACCAGGAGATTTGAAAAGCTCCGATTACAAGAATGGGGTAGAGAAAGGATACAAGGAGATCGCCAGTAAAGTACCAATTGCCGCTAAGAGTCACCAAGGTGCCCAGAGGCAGACCATAGCCCATGAAGACTGGCCAGTAATTCGCTATGTGCAGCAACAGCGCCTCAACATTCACATCTAAAAGAAAGAAAGAGAGCAAGTACCTACAATAACAAGAAATCACCATTTTTTACAAGACTTAGAGCAGCTAATCCCCCCTCCCCCCCTCCCCACTTACTTTAATTAAGAAACCTTACAGTAGGTCGAAGTGTGTCAATAAAACGACTTTTGAAGTTCAGCCAATTTAGACTTAGAGAGCCTCAACAAAACTAATGATCTTCTAAAAGGCTAACAGAAGCATAAAAGAGACCTCGTGTGCACAGTAGACCATTGAAAATGAATTGGAAGGGAAAGGTGACAATCCTCGTTCTTAAAAGAATTACAAAGGAGAGCGAAGACAGACACATCAGGCAGAATTCGTGAAATAATTGGATTTGTTTAGTTGGTGATGCGTGTGCATTGACGCCTAGTGCAATGATTAGACCCTAATAAGTCACAAAGCGGCACCTACTTTGCAACAAATAAACTAAGCATGGAAGCACGCGCATTTAGACGACCTTGAGACGTGATCTTGATGTAGTGCATGGGACAGAAATAGCATGCAAACACGCCTGGGACCAAGGCATAGAAGAGGCTAAACGTATATGTAAAATCCGACTGGATACCCATTAACAGCTAAAAGACCAGCAAAAGGACTAAAGTACAATTGAATTAAGCCATACGTTAAACCAAGCAAGAGTTCACCTTGAATGAGTTTCATTGAACACAGTTTAAACAACTTCGTGCTGCTCAGCCGTCGAAAAAAATGAAATGAAGTAGTAGCACTGACAATCTGATTAAGAAATCGTTCCATGAGCACTGGGCATTGCGGAAAAGAGGTTATACGCAGTCTTCCAGGGGAATAATAGTGAAAGTGGAAGAACTTAGCGCTGTACAATCCAAATTCAATAATCAAATTAAGCGGGAGTTTTTGCCATCCACGTACCTCATCTTACCAATCCATCCGACCGCATATCCTATTAAACTATTTGATGTTTTCTAATATCGGTTGCTCCCAACAATTAAAATGAATTAAGTAATTAGTCTTTCATGCTGTGAGTTATAATATAATGACATTTTGCAAAACCAATTATGCACAGTTCGGTTATAATGAATTCGAGTCTCACTAAAATGGTTGCTTGAAAAAAAACCCTAGTCATATTTATTAAAACAATAGTGCATTCAGTAAGACATAAAAGCTGCAACAACTCAGATCGTTCAGTTCGGAAATAATAAGTGTGGTAATGCCAAAGGTCATTAGGTCAATATTTATTGTTGTACGTGCATTGAGACGTGGGGTGGTAAACTGCACGCTCTCAATTGGTATCCAAATCCCTCCCTCATTCGAATAGTTATGCTAACGCGGCCTAGGAAGTTTTATTTCATGGGACTCCAGAATAAAAGATTCCCACAGAGTGGAATCAAGCAAGAAGACTTAAGAATAGTCAACAAAATATTCTCTCTCCCAGCATCTTATGGGGGAATGATGGGGAGTGATAGAATACGTGGTTTCTCATCAATAACCACTGATAGTGCCTGCCTGTCAAGTCAGAGAGGTTGGTGCATCCCCGATGCTGTAGATGGCCTACCGCTCTGGTTCTATTCGAGGAAAGAGGGGGTGTGTGTGTGTGTGAGCTACTCACAAGAGCGGATCTAGGGTACCGGATTAAGGCTTTCTTAGTGGGCTTTGGAAGTGCGGTAAAAATAGAAGGGAGCATGCAGATAATGACGTACTCGAGCTTTGGCGCGCACAGAAGTCGAAGGTGTAGCAAGCATAAATCAGAGACAGTGTGCAGGTTTTGAGAACGGATCTGACCAACGAGTAAGGCACCATAGAGGCGAGGAGTCTCCACTGTAAAATGAAGAGGAGGGTGTTGAAATTCAAATAGGGGGGAGGGGGGGGGTTGTAATGAGGTGTGGGGATAAAGTTAAGCCAATTCTTTACTACCAAACCTAGTTTCTAGCTATGCATCTGATAATCACAATTAAGCAGCATCTTCTGATGGGTATTTGGAATAGCATTAGCGAAATTTTGAACAATGCTAAGTGCCACGCAGGCCTTTTATATAACTCACCGTGCAGAAATTAATTGCTGTTAAATTAGAAAACAAAAAAGTAGGTCAAGAGTAGACGTTGTAAAATAAACCTGATTAAATGAAAATAAAAAGCAGAACGAACTTCGAAATATTCTCTTCTTACTGAAATCAAACGAGCTTGTGAAAGGTGGAATAGCGGAAATACAAACGAACGCCAATCTTCGTTCTCGAAATACGATATTAGGTAAATCGACACACAGCCCCCAATAAACTCTAAATTCCATCCAAAATAAACTATTTTAAGTCCAAAATGATGTGATTTTATGTTCCTTTATTCTTAATAAATTCAACGCTTAAAACTAACCACCCCCTCCCCTTGGCATATCAAATCCCACCCCAACTAAGTAAACAAGCTGACCCTAATCCGAAGAGGAACTTCGAACAAGATACTAAAGCGCAGTTATCCCATAAACGCTAATTAGGAGGAGCCGTCAGAAAGTCATATCGAATAGTTGCAATGGCCTAAACAGGAATCAGAAACACCGGATATCCTTCCCCCCCCCCCCCCCAGCCGGTTAAGCATGCAAATACTGGCCCAACCCGACTTAGTTTAAATATGCCGCCCTGAATAGAAATAATACATTCATGGACCCAGATAGTTAGACTCCGGTATTTGAAAACAATTACAAAGCGCTGGATACGAGCATCATTTTCACTTGCGTATTCGGCGAATCTGAGTTGGAACCGTGAATCTAGCGTTTAAGTTGATGGGCGGCATCAGAACGAGAACAAAAAGTAACAATTCAATGATTATATGTGCGCAATCGCGCACACATCCAAGCCCGCACCAATATACTTATTGACTCATTTATGCTGAGCCAACAACTCTTAATAACTTTTAAAACCGTTACTCAACTTCCCACTTGTATTATATTGTTTTATTGGTAAGAAACCCACTGACTGCAACTCACACCACCATTGAAAAGCGCACTCACCTGCAGACTGTAGATGAGAAAGAAGACAATGGAATAGGAGTAATCCATCAGCTTTGCTCCCAAGCCAAAAGACCTTGCGGTAGTGGGTAAATTTGAAAGAGAACCACGACGATTTCCACCACTATCACTGGAAGCACTTCTATGTCTCACTGATTCTGTCTGCATACAAATAGTCTAAAATGTGAAGCAAGAATAAAACAGACCAATCAGATGACATAACTTTAAGGTAATATAAAACCACTCGAGCATGGAATACGTCCATACAAAGAAGTGTCTGAAAAAACAACTGTCTGAAAATGTCTCCACATTAAATGCACTTCATTTCGTCATCTTTTAATCCATTAATAGGATATTTCTAGATAATCTCCCAGTTCCTTTTTTAATGAACACTAACAGAATGCCCACTATGACCCCAGGCAATTAAAGCCAGCGCCATATGTTCACGCAGTCAAGTGGAGAGATATTTGGAATCAATGTTAAAGAAGAACTTCATGCTTCGACCTAAGGAGTAGCCTTTAAAATCCAATTTAAACAGAAAACAGATGGCTTCATTTAAGAGATCATGATAGTAATGATTCCCCAACCTATTTGATAAAACGATTTCCAAGGATTACTCTAGATTAGGAGGTCATCACTATTGAAAGTCAATGCTGAGAAAATCAAATTCATTAGGCAAACACCACCAGTGCGGTCAGCCATCATGCTCACTGGTGAGTTCACCGATGGGTGCTGAACCAGTGATCACTACGCAGTCAGCGCAAATGATGCTTTTTTTGATAAAGATTTGATCTAAACGGTGCAATGTGAGTAAACTTAGTTTATTGCGGAAAAGGCTAGATCGTAAATCACGCTCTTTATAAGAAATAAATCAGACGAATATCAGTCTTTAATTAATCTCCCTTTCCCTATCCACCCCCCCCCCCCCCCCCCTCCCACCTAAATTAACGCCTTCAACAGCTCTGAATCTGCCTGTTCGCTTAATACAATGCGTGCCATTCTATAAATAAAGCAAGGTACACCATAGACTTATCTCCACGTGGTGCAAAAATGGGCAACGTATATTCATACGCCAAAAAAGTCTATAATCCGGCAGTTGACTTCAGACTACTACGACCCCACTGCATGTCATATTCAACCACTTCCACAGTACTCACCTCACCTTACCTTTGTCTTTACCCTTGTGTCTGTTTCTTTTGCATCTGTGAATCACACTTCTGTCCACCCCCCCCCCCTCCATCTCGACTCTAGTGACTTTGGTGTTCCTCCTCCCCTCTGTGAAGCCAGAAGTTAACTAAAGGCCTAATGAAAATTACCCTAAAGCCTGCTATTTGATATGAATAAATGAAGCAACGATGTACAATGAATGGGGACCTATTGCCAAGATCTTAGCGATTTCAGCGTTCAGAAATGGCGACTTTGATGTCCCTTAGCAGGATTGCACTAGCCTGGTTGCGGACATGCGGAAATAGCATTGAAAAGACGGGAGGGAGAGAGAGAGAGTGAGAGAGAGAGGGCAGGAAAAAACAAGATATACGAAACACATGGGAAAAAGTGCCACGATAAAATGTACAAAAAAAGGAAGCTTAACAGTGACCTTTTCGTCAATTCAATTTAAAAAAACGCTAAAATAAACGCTGGTTTACAAAAAACTGGAACTTTTATGTATGAAGAGAACGAAATACTCCAAGAAAAACTTTACTTCTAAAATAGTCCACAACGGGAAAAAAACATAATATGTTCTTTTAGGCAAAAAAAAATAAAGCGGACAGTCTTCAGTATTGATATTGTTTTAGAAGGAAAAGGGAAGATTTCATCGTGGAGAAAGCTTTAAATTTTACTTCGGCTGGAATGGGTGTGCGATAGACTTACCTCCATGTGGTGCAACCTGGGCAACGTATACTCATACGGCAAAAAAGTCTATTAACCGGCAGTTGACTTCTGACTTCAAACTACCATAGCCCGACTGCTTGTCATATTCAACCCCTTTAACAGCACTCATCTTGCCTTTTTCTCTACCTTTGTGTCTGTCTGCCTCTTTTACATCTGTGAATCGCTCTTCTGCTCCCCTACCTCGACTTTCTGCTACTTTGATGACCCTTCCCTCTGTGAAGCCCGAAGTCAACTGAAGGGCTAATGATAGCTATCAAAACGCCTGCCATTTGAAATAAATAAATAAACTTCGGCTGGAATTATATATTCTAGCAATTGCAGGTTTCGAAAAAAGCGGTTCGAATTTGAAGAATTAAACAAAGTTAAAAGGGTTTAATTGCGAGTTCTTATTTCATCTTTATAGTTGTAGAGCAGTGAGAAATGAGTGGAGGAGAGGTGGAACCGGAAAGAAAGTGAAGCGGCCAAAGGGAAACGAAAACCCTATAGGAGATTACGTTGCTTCAAGGTCGCACGAGAAATATGTGTACTTAAATCGGAGGGAAGGAAGTAGACTAGTAGGTAAAGACATTTACCAGATATCATAAATTTCTCAGAGTTGATAGCTATTATCTAGCCTTGGATACAAGGAGACACCTTTACCGCGGCGTCATAACCGCCCAATCAAACTAATCAGCTTCTTTAAGAGCTCTGAGTAACACTAGGATAAACAATGCGAAAAAACAAAGGGTAAAGGATAACGAGAAAGTAAACACGAATTAATGGGAGAAAAGCAGTTGATTCGAATTTCAAAATCTTAAGACTCCTTTATTTATTTGTACTTTTTTCTCCTCTTAGAAGGTTTCACGTGGTTAGAAATTGTAGTATATTTGGTCTTACCACCGTATGTAGTAATAAGACTAAAACAATAGGCAAAAAAGATGAACATAGTTTTTAAAAAAAACAAAAATGACACGAAGTAAAATATTTTCAGTTTTAAGGGATATAAATGTGTACTACACTAACAAGCTAGAGATTAAGAGATCGAAACTGACTGATGTACACCCATTTGCGTGTTAACAGAAGGTAGAATAAAAATTTCTGAAAATTACTCCAGAAGAGAAGTTTGAGGAGTTTGTTTCTTGGAGACATTCCATTATATCAAGTGCCTCCAAATGAAACTTCCAGGATAAACAACAAGTAAAATATAACGCGCAAGCCTTCTGATTCGATTCGGGGATACTCCAGACACTGTGTTATGCTACTATTTGTCCACGCCATCCTCCACGCCCCCCCCCCCTCCTCCTCCTCTACCTCCAATTGGTGTAATTTACCACCCTCCGCATTTGGACACATCCATACGGTTAATAAAAGAGGCCAAGGATAAAAAATAAATGCCAAAATTGGAGGGCAAAGTGATCGTCGAATGCGTGAAAAGAGTGAAGGGCAGCCAAAAGCGCTTCATGAACTATTACCAAGAGCACTAATGGCACATACTTGAAAGGTGAGGCAGAGAGGGAGAGAGAGAGAGAGAAAAAAGCGTACAACTACCAGCAGTATTTGGCAAAATAG